GTTCAGGTGTTATCTCGTCCCATCACACGTGTTTTGGCGGACTGGCGTCGGCCATGATGAGTATTGCCGCCAATGGAACGACTCCTCTAACAAAATGTTCACCTGTACCGTAGTATCGTTTTCGAAGCGGGAAGCTCAAAAAACCGCAAATTTCTTACGCAGATTGTGAAGTTATGAGTGAATTTCAGACTTTGTCGATGCGCTCATCGTGATTTTTAGGACATTATCTGTAAGAAACAACTCTTAGTTTTGCTCTAGCAAAAGTTTGCAACAGGCCCATTTATAATGTGAAGAAAATAACACCAAAATTTGCAGTTTTAATCGAAAATTTCATGTCCAACCTCTTTGAAAGGCTCCTTTCATTGTGCGGCGGGCTTTCTAGCAAGAGTCCATAAAAACAGAGGGCCTTTAATTCTTCAGTTACACTTCAAAGACTTCTCTTAGACATGAAAAGTTGCTCTACAAATCATGAGCTGAGCTCAACACATCAAAACTGAAGCACAAAAGATACTCACATTCTACGCCTGTGTGCAGCTTTTTACTCCTAGGAGATGCCCTATATGTAGTTTAAACGAAGAATTGAAAGCTATCTGCATTTTGGATCCTGGCAGTAAAGCCCACCGTTTGCGCCACGCGCCGCAGCGCAGGCGCCGGGTGAAGCGGTAAGAGCCTGGACAGTTAAAACGCCTTCAATTTTGTGTGTATGCAACACGGACATCCGTAGAGTTCGAATAGTTGTATCACATGTATCCAGGCGTTACGATGAAATTCGAAGTGCTGCTCATCGCATGCGATACTAACTGATGGCGCTCTGCTTGTTTCTCTTGCTTATTCTGTTACTTAATTCCAGCGTTGCCTATTGTACCCATGAAGATAACTATTACTGATTTTTATCGCTACATTGTCGATTTTCCCAATATGTTTTAATTGTTTGCCGTCCTGAAATTTAATCTACCTTTTGATCCAAGAACTACGAATGCGGTAAAGTCGTTGCGGGGTCAATTTAAGAAGAATCTGAGCACCCATCTCAACATATATGTATTTTCTCTTGCAGCAGGCAGAGTTATAAAGCAAAAAGTCCAGTATGAAATTTAAATCAATCTACGGTTAATAGGGAGCCCTATGCGGCAGGATTCTAAGCTTTCAGGAAATATGTCTCACGATACTGATTGCGTCAGGATCATTGAATTGGAGCTTCTGAGTTCATTAGTGCTGGAATTGTAAGTTCATAAAAAAACGAAATAATGACGAAGTATATTGAAAGAAGGCCGGCCTAAAGTTCTAGCATAAAATTCTAGGTAAAACGTTAACAAAGAACAAGTAAATGTTTCGTCTCAAGTTGTTTTCTACGGTATTCGCATTTGCACAACGCAACAATCCTCACAAACGTGTTCATTAAAATTTCATACAGCCGAGCCTGAGGAATCCGAATAATCCCTCCGTGGGAAGGAGAATCGGTCGAAAATGTGAACCGTACTCACTGAGGCCGCAAGTGGATTTCATGGGGCTTCAAAAATATCGGGAGGCAATTGAACAATTTAACCCGCTCATGAATGTCAGACCGCGCAAAGCAACAAAGAATCCAGGAATTTCAAAGGCTCGAATCTGACCAATCAATCAATAGGCAAATCCTCAGACGCATTGCTACGCTCGCAAAAAAAAAAAAAAAAATCGTGAGAATCAGCCTGACAGATATCCAGATGTAACTGCTACGCTGCCGTGCTAAGGAAAAATGCCGTATGAACATTCGACAGTTGCCAAATTTCTCTCGATATAATGTTTATATTTGAGGCAAGTAGTGAATGTTTTTCCTTGACACTTTCAGGACTTTTAGGTGAAATTACGAACAAAATCATATGAAATATTGGAAGAAAAATATTCGTATGTTTACCAGGAAATTCTTGTTTTATGAAAGGAAATTTGGCAACGCCTGAAGGTTCATACGGCGGTTTTCCTTAGCACGGCAGTACAGGAGATCGCTCCTTTTTTTAAAATAGGTATGTAGGGTGTTGAATTGAGATATTGCTTTGCTCGAGGAGCAAAAAAGCTCTCGAAAGGAGCCTTAAACTAAAATTGACCAAAATTTTCCACATATTATAGATAAGAGAACAAATTTTAATGAAGTGAGGGAGGGAACAATACCTTCGCCGCTCCCAGTTTAAATTTTGCACAATTTTGGGAGGTAACACCCAACACCCTCCATCCTGCCTCTTCCTCGATTGCCCTCGAGGTGTCCACGTCTAGCTTTCCCTCGACGAGTCACTTTGACCCGGATCGACCCGCAAGACGCGGAAGTGAAGGCTCAACCCTCGAGAATGGACCATTGGACAGTTGATAAGAATTAAAATTCCACAAGACGTGTCGCTCCCATGCGCGGAACAGGACATTTTTGTGGGGGAGCCAGAATCAATTAGTCTTGCTCAATTATAGCATTATTTGGGTCGATCGAGTCCATATTCCCGCTCGCGAAAAACCAAAATCAAAGTGGTTCACATGGAGCATTCGCAAAAATGTTATCGAATTGGCAAAATATTGGTGTTTTGTCGGACAAAATTGTTAACATTTTCTATAATTGCCAGGGCTTATAATCTTGACAAGAAAAAAGTTAGGCACACAAAAAAGATCCGTACATAGTAAACAATAGTGAAATTAGTTTTGAGATCAACTTGTCTACAGTAGACTTTCGTTTTTTTTTTTTTTTTTTTTTTTTTTTTTTTTTTTATGTGAGCAGAGCGTAGCTATGAGAGGTTTCCAGGGGGGCTTGCACTTGCCCTCCTTCCTTCCGGGGGGAGGGGGAGGCTGGTACCACTCCCCCCTCCCCTCCAAATTTTTTCAGCTACGCGCTTACGGCAGGAGATTTAAATTGACGTATCGAACAAAGAATTTTATTTTTTTGAATGAGATGAGGATGGACATCTTGAATGTGTCCGGCGTACATGAAAACTTTGATGAGTGAACAAGTTTTTCGATTCTTATAGCTTACAACCGTCGGCACTGTCCGGCGGGCTATTATCATTTTCTGACGTGGAAAAATCGCCTTCAAAATTTCATGAATGCAACCCTCCAACGAGCCACTACATGTTGAACAGAATAATGGCGGACAAACAATGTAGCACTTAAAACTAATTGTTCGTCGTCTCTTACACAATATGGTTACATATTGTAACGACTACGTGAATTTTCTGTAACTTATGTTACACTCACTTACATTTGCGATACTTCGCAGTTGCGTGACGTCACACATGCCTGACCAGCTGCCAGAGTGTTTGTGACGTAATGTTTGTGTACAAAAGCGCCCCGCCACTTCCGTATACATCGTTATCAATTCGCTCGAAGGTCAATGTTTGGATTCTTTTGTTTCATCAGGTTTCGGAATCTTCCTCAGTGCCAAGACCAATCCACACAGGTCAGTCATTGCGCAGCTTTTTTGAAATCCACTCCCCCGCCCGGCCCTAACTCGCTGCACTCATTGTGACGTACTATTGAGTGCACCCATAAGAAATACATTGCAAGCACTCAATAGTACGTCACTGCGCAGTAGAGTACCAAAACTCGTCCACCGGAATGACTGACCTGTGTGGATGGGTCTTGCTCAGTGCAGTGGATATTCACCTACTTTCCAATATCTGTCGCAACAAAGTGATTAGTACTCAACTCCAGCTTGCCTGACCACTGATCAGTGGGCTGGTAAAGTGAGATATTACACCGCGGAGGTATTTCCCAACTGTCCAAGTCCAAGTGTCAAGAAGTGTCCTAGAGTTCTAGAAGCATTTTCGTGCACGTAGCAGGAGGAGTGCTTTCCGGAATTTAACTTTTAATTCTCATCAAATCGTGGAAAATCTGCAGATATGTCTCTGAAACAGGTACGAATTTATTCAAAACTTTTCTCACTACCTAATTTTTGGTTTATGCTAAATTTATCTGTGAAGAACTGCATTTTAGTTGCCTAATTTGGGTGTATTGAAATGGCCTTGGATTAAGAAACTATCACGAATATCAAATTGAAACACTATTATTTTAAATTTCGCACATCATTTTGACATACTGAAAGACTGCACACTTAACACACACTTCTCTCAGAAGCATTTCTCTCTGTTCTTGGATCAACGCTTACAGATGATCAATCATTTCTATTTGAACTTCTTTCACCAATTCGCTTTGGGACGTAAACACATTTTGTTTAACATATTCTAATTTCCTAACACAAATAAGATACCCCTTTGTAATAAACACAATTAATCTACTTATCCAAACTCCTTTAAGCCTCTAGCACCTTGCAAACCAGTTTTTCTCTGCCCTGGTCATGCAGTTAAGTGCGCACCATAATTCTGTAACCCAATTTGCATATGAATTACATACATCTAGCTGATGGCGATTAAAAATATTGACTGCTCTGTCTGAATTTTATCGGAGATTATTATCTAACTTTCAAGTTTCATCCAAAAATTATTGGTTGGTCCAAACCCAATCACTCTGACATTCCTGGCACTGAAATCAAAATTTTATCATGTTTTTGCTTTGCTTAGAAAATGTATCCCATCCTAGTGTTTGAAACTTATGATAATGTGGGCATGCTGAACAGAGGTTTCATATCCAAACAGTTTATCGAAGTTCTGTATTAAGTGTGAAAGTTAATGTGGAGAGAATTGTAAGTACCTAGCTCTCTTGAATTGTACCATTCAGTGTCATGAATGTGGATGAAAGAATGGTGTCAAAATTTGTCTGCATACCTATTTATATCTAGGGAATCTGTAAATACCTTAAATCTGTCATCCTTATCTGTCTGAATCGCAGTGAACATCCTATAGCTGACCATCGTTCAGAAAGAGACGGTACATCTGTTACATTGATTCATTCATTTAGTTTCAGCAAGGAATGATAGCTTGTTTTCTTTTATATTCTGTTTAATAATCCGCTTATATCTCATTGCAACTTCTCAATTAAGTGACTGCCAGCAGGTGGGCTAAATATGTTGAATCAGTCCTACTGTACTTTGTTCTGACTCTTGACCCTTTAACATTTTCCCTACTTCCACTTTTTATAGAGCTTTTCCACATTTTCACGTCCCGGGCAGGTTTGTAATGGAACACTTTCCATACCCCTAAAAAATGCAAAATCAAAATCATAGTTATGACTTAAATGCCATGGAAAATAACTTCTCTCATTATCCTACATCTTAAGGTTTTATCTTGTGTGAGCAAATAGATGTACTGAGAATATTTACATATTTCAACATAGATTCTTTTTATCAGTAGTTACCTCCAATATGTTTTATCTCTAAATTGATAGGCACTGCATGAGTCAAATTTCCCCAATCTGTGAAAATAGCTCAAGTCCACATTGTGATCTCTTACATGATCATCATGTTTTTTCAGTGATGAAAATGAGGCAATTCTCGAAATTTTTTAAGAGGGCACAAACCACGTTTCAGATCAATCAAATGAATCAAGATAACTGTTCTGCGGTGTTGAGGAAAAACGCTGAATGTGTCTTCAGTAGTTGCCAAATTTTTTTTGATGAAATACAACTTTTATCTGAAAAGTTGTAATGTTTTTCTTCCACTTTCTGGAACAATTATGTTCCCAATTTAGTCAGAAATATCTGTATTTTTCAGGGGAAAATATACATAACTTTCTTACCAAATACATTTTTTATCCAGAGAAATTTGACAACATTCGAATGTTCGTTGGGCGTTTTTCCTCAGCAAGGCAGTGTTGATGAAGGAAATGTGATGCAGTGAATATAGAATCTTGGAGCATTACACAAGATCAGAGATATTAAAAGCAAAGTCCACTCGCTATTTTGAAAGCCAATTTTTTCACGTCTACCTATAATCATGCATAATTTCTCAATAAATGAATTTGAATTCCATTCTTGCATACTGCTGTGCTAAGGAAAAACGCATTGAACATTAGAATGCTGCCAACATTCCTCCCATTAATTGGGAATTTTCCTGAAAGAAAATTTGTAAATGCTCTTTCCATGAAATTTCAATAAATTCATTTGCATCTTATTGCATTGTACTTATTTAAACATTTCAAGGATAAATATTTATTAGTTTTCATTATGATAACTTTTCATTGAATGAAGTATAGCTGGCATCATGTGAGTGTCAATTCTTAGTAGCTCTGTATTTCCTTAAGCAATAAAGCCAAATTCTTTTGATAAAACAACAGTACACTGTACTCAATGTTTAATTTTTCTTGCTTCACACGTTTTTTCATTCCCCCTCATTTTGTCATTCAAATGTTTTTGACTAGTCATAGAAGATAATCAATAGTCTTCCCAATGATAATTATTTTTCATTTTTTTCCAAGATCTTGGACAAAGCTGCCCGAGCTGGAATCACTACTGGTCTTCGTAGACTCTCAATTTCAGCGGAAGCAGAAGCAGCCGAATCTCATCATGGATTGGGCGGTGTCACTTTTGGTGAGTTATCTAAAACCTCTTATTTTGCTTAAACATGAGCTGCGATAGAACGTCACCAAGGCAGTTTATGAAGACCACTAAGGACCTTTTGAAATCTTGGAAAATTGTGGAACTAGCAATGGTTCCATGAGCCCATAGTAGTAAAAGACAGGTTTGATTTGATATTATGGATGTAATATTTTCTCTTGTCTTACTATGATTCTCTTATCGATTCCACTCTATACTAAAGATATTTATGTACAGACACAATAACACATCTGCATTGTGCATGTAACAGTAGGTATTCCCTTAAAGTAAATTTTACAGCTTCAAAAGGAAACTCATCAAGTTAAAAGTACTAGTGCTCAATGGAGAGCCATTACTTATCAGCTGCTGTTTTTTGGAATATTATAATGCAAACCGGTAACAATGATGTTTGACCCTCTGTTAGACACAATCTATATTTTCAAGGCTAACAGGGAGCATGTAAGATGTATAAATATTGCCAACTTTTGGTTCCTGTCTTTATTGGTCGCTTACAACTTGTGAAGAAAGGGATCTTTAGCTGCTTGCCCTCTGCCTAGGCAGGGACAGTAATTATTGTAAATTGATTTTCTCTCTGCTTTGAAGCACAAAAACCAAAAAAAAATAAAAACCCTCCATGAAATGCAACTGAGCCTCTCTGTCTCTTATTTCTTTAGTGCTAATGATGCTAGTGTTTCAAATTATGATGGGAATCTCAATGAAAGAGTGCAAAAATTGTAGCCAGGTTTCTTAAATTGGTTGGCTCTCTCCACAACCTCCAGATTCCTGATAATGTCGTGATTTCAGAAATGCTCAGATAAAAAATGTACCTCTTTTTTTCTGAACATGTGTTTGGATCTTGTGCGTTTTTTCAGAATTGAATGAAATGCAAAAGGAGATGCAAGAACTTGCAAGGAAGTTCACACGGGAAGAAATCATTCCGGTAGCCGCCGAGCATGATAAAACTGGAAAATTCCCTTGGGAAATCGTAAAGAAAGCTCATGAAGTGGGTTTAATCAACGGACACATTCCAGCACATTGCGGTTAGTATGTTGAATATGGAGCTTAACCTTACAAAATGTCTGTGTAGAAAAATTAAGAAGATTTTATTTAAGCTATAAGTTAAAATCTTGCAAAATTATGGCTCTGCGCCTATGGTTGTATGAGAATCTGCAATCAAAGAAAGGTATTCTCTGGACGTCAAATTTCAAAGTGGCTTATTAACTTTCTAGAATGCTTGAGACTCTTAATAATCATCCAGGTTTTTTTTATAAAAAAATTATCTTCTCCCAACTAAAATAAAAAAAAAAATTTCTTCCAGTTGTTATTTTTGTAAGTACAAGAATTTCCTTTAAAATCTTGATCCGCAAAGACCAAAAGGTTGAGACCAACAAAAAAAAATCTGCTGAGATAAAAGAAATTTGTATCTCCCTCTTTTTAGGTTCAGATGGAAGTTCAAGGAGGCACACATTGTTGAGAAATCTCCTCCATTTAAAGTCACAACATATGTCTGGAATATTAAATTGATTAAATTTGAAAGTGATGGCTACAGGGAGTAAATAAAAAAGGAAAAAAAAAACATGAGTAAATATAGGAGATGAAAGAAAGAGAGGAAAGATAACAGGATGCAGAGAGGCAAGAGAGTAAACAAATAAAAAGAGACTTTGATAACATAGTGAAATCTCAAGTTTTCTGAGCTCTTCCCCCTCCGTCAAATGGAAGACATACCTGTGATTAAAAATCACGTGGAAAGAATTTTCACTCAGTAATCACTTGAAAGAAGGTAAATTTTAGCCGCGCAGCAACTGGGTATTGAACTTTTGGCCCATTCCTAAATTAATCTTGAAATGCTAACGCCTGTTTTTTTGACAGTCCATTACTGTAACGATCCACAACTCTCTGACAGCCCCTCCCACCCCCTCAAACAAATATAAAAAAACTGCATTATCACTGAATAGATTGAAGCTCTTTTTTAATGAGTTGGTAGCGCTCACATAGTTTCTTCATTTTCCAATTCTCCAACTTTTTTGCTTTTTCTCAAGTCCAAAATCTCTGAATTCTCAAACTTCCTCAACTATCTTTAACAATTCTCTGACTTTGCCCAGCCTTTGAACACAATTTCCTCTCAGATTTCTCCTCCTTTAATCAAGCTGACTTTCAATGAACTTTGGATGAAATTTCCACTTATGCAGATTCAAAATATGGAAAAAGGCTTGTGGAAGTTGTCCGTGCTCTTTCAAAATTCCCTGATTATTCCAGGTTCCGCAAATTCCGTGACTTTCCTGGTTTTCCATACCATCAAAAACCCTATGCGCTAAAGTTAAAGTATTACAGTTAATAATACAACCAAAGAGTCACACTTTTTTGTGAAACCCTCCTTTTCCTAGCGTCCACCTATCAAAATTGCTGGAGATATTGGATGGAATACATATACCTTGTAAACTCAAGAATACTCTCAAAATTACTGAGTAATGATTTGCTTAGCGCCTTCTTCCTCTGTAAACACTAAACGACACTAAACCTCCACCCAGCCTATGAAGCTGAAAGTTATTTATGGACACCACCATACTCTAGCAACTTTGTTGCTTTCTGTGGAGTGAGAGTGTATTGAGGATAAATGAACTATAATAATTATTAGAAAGAATATTACATAGAAAATAATACTAGAAAATATATATCTAATATATAAAAGAGAATATTAATTTCCTAACTCTTTTCTTTAATGATGCCTCCTGGTTTTGCTACTGGTTCTTGCACTCTCAGGTGGATTGAACATGAACACGTTTGATGGATGCATGCTTTCTGAAATTTTTTCTTATGGTTGTGCCGGTATTAGATCATGTATTGGATCAACAAATTTAGGGGTGAGTGATTTTTTTGAGCCTACTTTAACTTTTAATTTGTCACCTTTTATGTAGGTGGTATGAATTTGGGAACTTTTGATGGATGCCTTGTAGCAGAAGAACTGTCTTATGGGTGCACAGGAATCGGTACGGCGCTCGAAGCAACTGGTCTTGGAGTAAGTAAGCCCTCATTTTTTACGACTGCACGCTTTTTAAATTAACTGCATATTATGCTTGCTTCTACTAGTCATCAATGATCTCTTTTCCTTTTCTTTCATTAATAATGTGAGACCTAGGTTGGTGAGAAATGATCGTTAAAAAGTGTTCTTTTTACATACAGGGTGTTTCAGACCACCCGTACCAGGCCTTTTTCTCGGTTGGTTTAGGTCGTACGAAATCGGAGACCGCGGGGTTGAATAGGGAATTGACCCCAAGGAATCCGAATTTTGTGGTCCCGAAACCCCCCCACCCCCCCTTGGGGGGTAAAGGGGGGGTCACGATGCTAAAAGTCACGGTTCCCGACCGAATTGCGGATAGATCGCATCAGAATTGAAAAGCACGGAAAATTTCACGTGGAATTGACCCCTAAAAATCCAAAATCGGACCATCCAAGGCCCAAAAATGATCCCCTAAAGAGGGGGACAGTACCCCCCTCCATAATTTCTCTTTGGCCTCAAAATTGACGTAAATTCTCCAGAAAAAGACGGTTTTCCAGGTAATCGATCTCGAGGAATCCAAATTTCATGGTCCCGAAGCTCCTCTAGCCCCCCTTAGGAGGTAAACGGGGGGGCCCAATTTTAAAAATCGGGGCTCCTTTCCGAATCGCAAATTGATTGCATCCAAATTGAGGAGCAGAACACATTTACATCTTAAGTGACTCCTCAGAGTTCTAATAAACCCCATGAACGGCAGAAAGTAACCCCCTGAGGAGGGAGGCTTCGCCCCCGCCAAAAATTTCTCAAGATTCCTCAATGGTCGCAAAATTGACGTCGATTCTCCAGAAAAAGACGGTCTCCCATGTAATCGACCCCGAGGAGCTCAGGGAACATGAAATTTAGGGTCCTCAGTGTCGATTACATGGGGAACGGTCTTTTTCTGGAGAATCGACGTCAATTTTGCGACCAAAGAGGAATCCTGAGAAATTTTTGGCAGGGGCGAGGCCCCCTTCCTCAGGGGGTTACTTTCTGCCGTTCAGGGGGGTCAATTAGAACTCTGAGGAGTCACTTAAGATGTAAATGTGTTCTGCTCCTCAATTTGGATGCAATCAATTTGCGATTCGGAAAGGAGCCCTGATTTTTAAAATTGGGCCCCCCCGTTTACCCCCTAAGGGGGGCTAGAGGAGCTTCGGG